CCCTGGGGGGGGGGTTTTTTTATTGGGGGAAATTCGGTAAGGGAAAACCCCGGGGGGAAAGACGGGTTTGGCCCGTTGGGAATTTTTTTCAACAGATTTTTGCCCTTGGTTTTTGAAAAAAAGGGTTGTTTTAGCCCCCCCCCGGGGGGTGTTTTTTTTTTTTCCCGTTCAGCCCCCGGGCCCAGTTGGGTTGGGGGGATGATTCCTTTTTTAAAATTTGACCCGCCCCTTCCCTGAAATTGATTTTTTGGCCCCATTGGAATTGGTGGGTGAATGGTGGTTTGATTTTTCCCCCCCCCCCCCCCCCCATTAAGAATATCCTGAACTTGATTTATACGGCCCACAGAGAAAATGCTGGGTGACTGCTTTTTCAATTGCCGACCCCCTCCCATTAATTCCCTGAAATTGATTTGTAGGGCCCACTCAGGAGATGTTGGGTGACTGCTGTTTCGATTGTCGACCCCCCCCAATCAAAAACTTCCTAAACTTGGTTTACAGGGCACACAAAGGAGATGTTGGGTGACTGCTGTTTCGATTGTCGACCCCCTCCCATTAATTCCCTGAAATTGATTTGTAGGGCCCACTGAGGAGATGCTGGGTGACTGCTTTTTCGATTGCCGACCCCCTCCCATTAATTCCCTGAAATTGATTCGTAGGGCCCACTAAGGAGATGTTGGGTGACTGCTGTTTCGATTGTCGACCCCCCCTAATCAAAAATTTCCTAAACTTGGTTTATAGGGTCCACAAAGGAGATGTTGGGTGACTGCTGTTTCGATTGTCGACCCCCCCCCCACCCCTTCAATGTTTTCCCTGAAATTGATTTGTAGGGCCCACCAAGGAGATGCTGGGCAACCTGCACCCCCCGGAGGGGTGGGACCGCGTCACCCCCCTGCCCAAGCCGACGAGGTTCGAGCTGCTGACGGAGCAGCCGTGGGGGCTGCGGCAGGGCCCCATGTACCCGTACCAGCTCGAGGGACTCAACTTCCTCCGACAAAGGTTCGGTTTGCCTCATTTGTTTCGGGTCATGTTGATAGGGGGGAGGTGAAGTAGTGAGATTGGTCACTCGATGGGTTTTGGCTTGGCTCTTGTCTTTGCGAGAGCTTGGTGGAGCTATGCGCCGGGATTTCTGCGGCCGAGGCGTACGGCAGGGGGGAGGACACACATTTCAGTTTACGAGAAGAGAGAGAGAGACAGAGACAGAGACAGAGAGACAGGTAGATAGGCACGGAAAGAGCCGACACGGAAAGAGCCGGAGAAAACCAATGAAACTATACCCGCCACCTCAAGCTGAAGGGATCCAGTAAACCCCGCTTCTTCCCCCGATATGCGAGAACGTTGAGTGTTCGCAGGGGGACATTTTGCTGGGGCTATACGTGTTCGTGTTGCAGCACTTTTCTCGGTCTTGATGTTTTGGTGGACCTGCTGGTTCGCGGAACCGTGGGGTGGTTAAAAAGGGGTTTGGGGATATGCATATTTTGAGGGATGTGCATAGTTGACTCCGATCTGTATTTCATTCCATCCCTCCTCTTTTCTCTCTCTCTCTCTTTCTTTCTCTCTCTCTTTCTCTCTCTCTCTCCCTCGTTCTCTCTCTCTCTTGCTCTTTCCCTCTCTCGGTGTCTCTCTATCTCTCTGTGTGTCTATCTCTGTGTCTCTCTCCCTCCCTCCCTCCCTCCCTCCCTCCCCACGTAATATTGAAAACCCATCTCCCCCACGATGCTCGTCGCTTATCTCGACACCCGCCCCGGGGGCCCCGCAGCTGGTGGTCTAACACCAACGTAATCCTCGCCGACGAGATGGGCCTAGGCAAGACCATCCAGACCCTCGCCTTCGTCCGCAGCATCCTCCACGAGAGGCCCTCCTCCGAGCACCGTCCCGTGCTGGTGATCTGCCCCCTGTCGACCACGGACAACTGGGAGAGGGAGCTGGAGATGTGGTGCCCGGAGCTCAACTGCGTGCGTTTCGTGGGGAACATGAAGTCGCGCACGGTGGCTCTCGAGGTGTGGTGCGGCGTTGTATTGTGTGGAGTGGAGTGGAGCGCGAAATAGTATGAGCGCGTTTCGTGTGTATGTAACCAGGGGTGACCGGGGCTGCTATTTGCTTGATTGAACAATGCGCTTTCGTTTTGGTACTGTTGAGACCGTTGGGTCGAACCCCCCCCCCCCCCCATCCCGTCGATCCCGCCTTCCCTTGTCGCAATTTCACCGCCTATTTTTGTGTGTCTAATGTGTTTTGTGCCGCTGTCTTTCTCGTGCTCTGTTTTTCGCAGCACGAGCTGTTTCAGGATGGAGACGGAGGGGTCGGGGTTCAGTGGGAAGGTGCTGCAAGCCGCAGCGGCCGCACAAGGTTTGGAACTCCCTCTACGCTTTCAGTTTCGCTTCTGTTGAGTATTGATATACATACTCACACGTATCGTTTGTTTTGTTACATGCAGCAGTACTTGTTTCGAGTACAATTTTTTTTTTTTCGTGTGCAAGTATGACGTGTTGGCACCAACGGTGACCTCTGGCGGCACTTTTTCTCGGGCCACAACCCTCAACGCTCGACACGATGGAGTAAAAGTCCGCGCGAGGGGGGGTGATTGTTGTTGTTGTTGTTGTTGTTGTTGTTGTTGTTGTTGTTGTTTCTCACATTCGCTCTATAGTCCACAAAAATGGGGAGCCCGTGGTCGCAAAACCCGGCACATACGACGCCGCGGGGAAGCAAAACAAGAGTAGAGTCGGAAAAAGAAAACAAAATGATAGAAAGAAACGAACAGGAAGGTGTATGTTCGTCAAGGTGAGGTTGAAGCTGATGTCGTCTGTGACACTTTGTTGTGTTGGTGCCGTATCCACGAAGTTCGCCATCTGAGGTGATGTCTCGCCTAGTTTCGCTCCGCTTGAACACTCACACCGCCTTCGATGATCGATCGCAGGAAAGGGAGGAGCAAGCAGAGGGCGGGGGCGGCCGGCAAGGGCGGCGTGGTGAAGGCCGGGGTGCCCAAGTTCCACGTCATGATCACCCACTACGAGGTACACATTTTGCAGCTGAAGGCAATCGAACCGTTAGCGACAAGAACAAAACACGCCTTCGAGAGGCCCAATCCCCAAAAGCTAACGTGTGGTGTGGAGTCCTTTCGTTAAAGCACTTGTATACGAGCGTACATTTTCGGGATGTGCAGTGAGATACTCCCCACCCGCCGGGTGCGCTGTTTTGTGGGATTTGGAAATGTTCGATTCCGGTTTCTACGATGTCCCCGGTCGATTCGCAGTAAATCAGCTGGCTGCATGGTTAGGCTCCCAAATAAATACATGTGGTGCCACCAGCGAATAATCATATCACACCGCGGGGCGGGGGATCTGTAGCCGTCTATGTAGCCCGCCTGCGTACTCCGGTTAATTTGTTTTTCGTGTTTGCTTTTTTTTTTTTTTTTTTGCAGATGCTCCTTCAGTGTTCTCACATCCTGAAGGCGATCAAATGGGAGCTGCTTGTCGTTGACGAAGCTCACAGGTGGGATCGGAGTGACCGTCGATGGCACCACAAGCAGCCGGCAGCGGTGGCGCCGACTTGTTTTGCTCCTCTTGTGCACCCTTCCGACACGAAGAAGCGATCAAAATCCGCGGTCGGAAGCTAGCTGAATGCTCCTCCGCTTACGAGCTAGTTGACGCTGTTTCTCGGAATGAACCACACTTTTTTCTTATAGCTGCCAGACGAAGTATGCAATGCCGGTGATGCCCGTGAGGGGGGGAACAAATAGGCCTTGCCGTAGGTTTGATTGGGGTCTTGGGGTGCGAAGTATTAGAGGCTATAAGCGCGTCTCAACCAAGTGAGGAGAATTAAGAATGTTCATTGATTTTCAGCAGGCGTTTTCAAGACGTGGTCAAAATATTTGTTGCGTTTCCCTCTCTTCCGTCAGCTGATTGGTATACGAAGTGCTCCGGAGTACGCGTACATATTCATCTATCATACGCGCTGCCCACCAACAGCCGCGTGTATTACGCGAAACCTCAACAACGAAACGGCTTTGAAGGCGTGGATTCCAACGTGTCAGCCCGTCCGTCGTTTCCCCTGTTCCCCATTACCCACTCCCGCCTCCCTGGGCCTTGTTGCAGGCTAAAGGCGGGCGCGACGTCCAAGGTGTGCCAGCTCACGGCCAGTCTGGACACGCGGCACCGCCTGCTCCTCACCGGAACTCCCCTGCAGAACACGGTGCGCGCGGGGTGCGGGGGGGGGAATAGATGCTCCGGCGGTGTTTTTTTTTTTTTTTTTGAACGTAGACATGCATACAATCACTGAAAGACTACGCGTGCGAGATGATGTCACAGTTTTTCATGAGAATTGTAAGACCTTTTGATGAGGTGTGTTCTGTGTACAAGCATGTTTTGGTTGTGTTTTGTCATCCCTATTATGTACCTTGCCGTGGGCACCAGCACAACGTTTCGGTGCAATGTTGGGTACACGGTTTAAGAGAGAAGGTCGGGGCAAGCAAAAACGCACTCTTTCAACAAATTCGGTTTTCTCTTATGAAAACATATTATGTTGAATCCGTCGCCTCTAATGCATGTGTTCGACGCGCTAGCCGTTCGTCACTCCGTACCTTGTCTCCTCCGGGAACGCGTCTCTCTTTTTTGTTTCCCTCGATGTCTTGGTGTCTTGGGTGTCTTGGGTCTATGTATGGCTCCGCAACAGGTGGACGAGCTGTTCAACCTGCTGCAGTTCATCGAGCCGCACAAGTTCTACGACAAGCTCTTGTTCATGAGCCAGTTCACCAACCTCGAGCGAGAGGGGCAGGTACGGCGATCGAGAGTTTGCATTGGGCGGAGCCCCTGGCATTGGTGCATGCGTGGTTGCGGTTGGTGTCTCGTGGTCCTCCGGTACAGAAAGACGGAATCCGGACATGTCTGTTGGTGAGAAGGGTTGCGACGTATGGTGCGATGTGTTGTTGCTGTTGTTGTTGTTGTTGCTGCTGCTGCTGCTGCTAGAGGCGAATGGGTTGCGTACGCACGGATCAATTCGTTCCCACCATGTGTTGGCTCATGTTGGCTTGTTGTTACGTTAATGGCGTATTCCCGGTTCCTGTAGCTGCGCTGGGATTCTATCCCGTCTCAAGCATGAGAGGGTTTTGCGAAGGCACCAGCTGAACCCCTCCGCTACCACGGTTGAGTGTGAAGTACGTTCCATGGTAATAATGATCGGACCACCCAACCAAGCTGTCGAAAGTGAAAAAGGCGGCGATGATGGTTCCGTAAACTAAGAGAATGAAGCGTGTGTGAACGTGCCAACCACAGGTGGCCCAGCTGCAGTCCCTCCTGAAGCCGCACATGCTTCGCCGCATGAAGAAGGACGTGCCCGACCTGGACATCCCGGACAAGCGGGAGCTGGTGGTGCCCATCGAGCTCTCGCGGGAGCAGAAGGAGGTGTATCGCGCCATCCTCACTAAGAACATGGACGTGCTCAGAAAGGTGCGAACGTACGTACGTGGAGGGATGTCCTGTGTTCGTGGACTTTTGGTAGGGGGTCCGGCAGGAGGGGGGGAGGTGGACAATTTGGTGCACCGCGCCATCCTCACAAAGAACATGGACGTGCTCGGCAAGGTACGTACGTACGTACTTGGAGGGATGTCCTGTGTCCGTGGACTTTGGTAGGGGGTCCGGCAGGAGGGGGGGAGGTGGACAAGTAGGCGTACCGCGCCGTCCTCTGACCGAGAACATGGAATTAACGTGCTCGGCAAGGTACGTACGTATGTACGTACTTGGAGGGATGCCCTGTGTTGGTGGACTTTTGGCAAGGGGCCTCCGGCAGGATAGGTGGAGTATGACGTGCCCCGCGTGCCCTGCTGGCTGACCAAGAACATGAATGAACGTGCTCAGAAAGGTGGTACCTTGGAACCCGCCGTTTTTCACGAGACTGTACCGCAGATTTGCTTCGCCGAAACGAAACGTCGTTGTTTCCCATGACCAGAACGAAAAAATAGTCGCTTACCAATACACGCGCAAGCACAAAAACATACACGGTTATTCTTCCCCATGATGACCCCAAACACAAAAAACATTCTTTACCAAGACACACGCGCACACGGGCGCGCCTAACGTGGCCGCGCAACAACGACGACGACGACCACGACCCCCAAAAACCGGCGCAGGGGGACCAGAAGAAGGGCACGTCGAGGGGTCTGCAGAACATCGTGATGCAGCTGAAGAAGGCGTGCAACCACCCGTACCTGTGCCGCCCGATGGACGCGGCCTCCGTCGAGGACCTCGTGAAGGCCTCCGGCAAGATGAAGCTCTTGGATAGGTGGGTGTTTTGTTGTTCTTTCGCTCTTTTTTCCTGTTTTGTTGTTGTTGTTGTTGTTCTGTCGGCCGTTATTGCCGTTTGCGGCTCTCGTTGTCACAGCAACAGCAGCCATGTTCCTTTCTGGAATGAGACATGTGCATGGAGGCCTCCGGCAACATGCAGCTGTCGGGGATGTGGGTTCGTTTCCTTCGCCTTTGTAATTTTTATGTTTGTTGTTATCGTTGTTATCGTTTTTCATGATGCGTGCGCGCATTTTTTGTGCGTGTGTGATTGGCGTTCGGTACCACTTTTTTTTTTTTTTTGTCGTAGAGGCAGCATACTCTAATGTGGCGCACACCTGTTTTCGTCCAATTTGTATTTAGAACATTTTTTCCCCGATTCGCGTGGTTGTTCTTCCTCCAATCATGTGCTTCTTTTGTGTTTGCTTGTGCGTTTGTTGTTCCATGGGTGGATACATCAAAAACAGCATGCTGAAGAAGCTCCACAAGGCGGGGAACCGTGTGCTGGTGTTCTCCCAGATGACCGCCCTCCTCGACATCCTCCAGGCCAGTTTTTTTTGTTTTGTGCATTTTGTGGGAACCGAGGGGGGCTGCTCACGACCGCTCTTGGTACACGCGTTATTTGCTGAGCCCTCGCCCGTGCAGATGTGATGTTGATCTCAATGTAGTGCATGCATATGTAGGTTTACATCTGCGTCTAGAGTGCAGGTCTACTCCATCCGTGCTGAAAAGTCAGTTGTCACTCCTTGACCTAGTTCTTACACCGTCCTTGTGGTGTCACGCAACGTTTCCTGACTCCGTACCGTTAGCTGCCCCGCGTGGAACAGCAATGGGTGAGGCGGGGGAAGGGATCGTACGGAAGAAAACAAGTCGCCTTTTGCCGTAGTCGTGCAAAAAATGACCTCGATGAATGGTGTGTACCGTTTGGGGCCTTGGTCAGTTTCGGGATTCTTACGTTTGCAGTCGTAGTCCCCCGGCTGGTATTGTTTGCGGGGAGAGAGACGGGGTTTGTAGGAGTCAACGCCGCGCCTCGTAGTCAACGTGGCTAGCGAGACGATAGCGTTCCGTGTGTCTCTCTCCCCAGCGTGTGGCCTAGAAACCGAAGAAAAATAATGAAGCAATTCGAAAGAAAACAACCAGAAAAGGAAAGTTTATTCGTCGAACAGACAGAACAAACCTGCGGTTTATTGAGGTGACAAGTTTCGGACTGCAGTTTCATTAATCGTTCGGAATATTTTGGGGTCACCAGGGGATGGAAGTAGAACCCTCTCCTGCCATTCCGTTGACAAGAAGGCACGCAGCGGTGTAGCGAGTTGAGTGACGAACGGAAGCTACAGAAGCGTGTGGAGAGAAGAGAGGACAGCAGTGGCCGCCCAACGTAGACGGCGGCGGTATAATAGCGAAAAAAATACGCCACAAAATAGAGTTGCTACACCGCTGCGTGCTTTCTTGTCAACGGAATGGCAGGGGGGGGTTCTACTTTCATCCCCTGGTGACCCCAAGTTTCCGAACGATTGATGAAACTACAATCCGAAACTGTCACCTCAATAAACCGCAGTTTATTCTGTCTGGTCGACGAATACACTTTCCTTTTCTGTCAGCTGTCGGTTGTGACGCTTCTCAAGCTCAACAGCTCACACAGCTAACATGCATTCATTCAAAGAGCCCGGTCAACCATTAAAAGATCCCCAAAGAATGAATATAATATAAGTCTGTTAGGGTCTTTGCCCGGGTTTTTGGCGCACCTAGATATTGATGGGGACCAGTCGCACAGGTAGGGATGGCAGCACAGGAGTTTTTTCGGTTGTTCCGTTGTTTACTTTTTCTTCACGCTTCCCGTCGCTTTTTCACGCCTGTCACTCTCTCTCACACGTTTTTCACTCGGTAGGAAGTTTTTCGTTATTCTACTTTTCACTTTTTCCCCCTTTTCTCCCATCTTTCATTCTTGTTTCCCTCTTTTTCGCCATTTTTTTTCACTCGCTCTGCACGAATGTTCACTCGTTTTCACTGTTTTTTTCACTTTGATTACTATTTTTCATGTGTGGTGCTTGCCGCACTTTTTAACTGCCGACCAGTGTTCAGCCGCCCCTCCGCCCTCGCCGATCGTATAGTCGAACTTACCTCTATCGCACCCACCCACCAATCCCTCCTCCTCCACTTGTTTGCGCCATAGAGAAATAATGTAAACTGCGTTGCGAATGGAATTCTATCGTGTAGTTTCGTAGTTTGCTCCGGCAAGACTCGAACTGCTAAGCTTAGGCGGTAGAGGGTCGACCTGTCTTGAAAATGTGTTTTCGGCTTGTTCTGCTGGCCTCCCCTGCGCGCGCGCATCGACACTGTTCGAAGTGCTGCGGAAAATCTCTCCTTTTCCACAACCGACCAAGTCTGTTGGGCAATATTGTGAGGTTCACACGCGTAGCAATCCCTGAAGACCCAGATTATGACTTCACTTGTAGATGCTTCTTGTTCTCTTGTTTTGTCTCTCAACAGAGCAGCACGCTCTTACTTGCTGACTCCTTGCTTCGGATAGACTGAGCGGAAGGGGGCTCGGACCGCTCCTTGCAGGGAGGGGCCGCCATGGCAACATCCCCTTTTTAACAACAATCCTAAGGAGTTGCAGTTCCCGCCAGATCTAAAGACCCTGCCTTGCGCTCAGACCCTTGTTCTCAAAGTCCCATGACACTAGCCCACCCTCGAGGTTCGCATGTGCCGGTACATGAAAACCCCAGGATATAAGACAAGTCAAGTCTAGTGTTCGAATATGAATCGAACATGCGAAACTCCGGAACGCAACAATTATCACCCTCCCACACCTCTACATTGGATGGGCAACCACCATCGCGGACGGGACGGGCGCCGGCGCAGCGGCAGCGAGTTCGAAGCCTCCTGGCCACAGCACCGGGTGTTTCGCACGGCCGTGGGCCCATCGAAGGGCACCAAGGAACAGCTCTTCCTGGCAGAGCTGTTCCTTGGAGTCGACTCTGAGCTATACAGGTAGAGCTGTTCCTTGGTGCTCTTCGCGCGGCCCACGATCGTGCGAAAGGCTCTGCGCTATACAGCCAGGTACAGCTCCTTGTTAATGCTCTTCGCGCGGCCCACGGCCGTGCGAAAGACCCGGTGCTGTGTCCAGGACGCTTTGAACTCGCTGCCGCTGCGCCGGCGCCCGTTCCGTCCGCTTCCACCGTCGACCTGCCGCCTCGGCCTTCACAGCAGTGCGCAAGGCAGGGGCCAAGAGTGTTGGAAACAGAATTAGGTGCCGTTGTCAGACAAGAGACTCGAAGGGCAACCAACGTCGCAAAGGGATGCGCCGATTGACGAAAACATCTGCAGTGCCTTCGGCAGTAAACGCAGCGGCCGTGACGGCGTACATGTCCTCACGTCGACTGAAACGGTCGGTGAGAGCGAAATATAAGGCTTCACCCCGACCATCCTGACTTCCTGCATGCTGGCGTTTTTCCTGTAGAAGGGCAAGCTTCTGCGTGAGAGGTCGTTCGCAACCGCGGGCAATATCATCATCCGTGCAAACGAGAATGCGGTAGTCGCACAACATCAAGATGTCAGACAGCGAACCTTACCGAGCTAGTATGTTGCTGGCATGCATTAGCAGGCAGCACCGATGTGGGTAAAGCCAGAGTACCAACACGCTCAACCTTTTAAGGGCGAGAGGGTGATGTTTGCACGTTGTACACTTCTTCCCGCGGTATCTTGATCCCCTTGGCTTTTTTTTTACCGACTCTCCGAGCAGGCACGTAACGCAACTGGCCTCTTCCTCCGGTGATCTTGGTCCCCTTTCTCTCTCTCTCTCTCTCTCTCTAGCCGTATGTGCGGCGCCAGTTGCAGCTTGGGCATTATCGACAGTATCTTGGCGAGCATGAGCAACAGCGGAGGAAGCGATAGGGCACTGTCATCGAGCAGCAAGCCGGAGTCGTTTCGTGAAAAGAGGAAGCCGGCTGAAATTGTCAAGTGTCAGCTTTGCGCTGGTGAAGCTCCTCACTCGGTCGGATCGATTTGCTGGATGTCCTCCGCTTTTGCTCAAGCACTCTTCTTGGCGTTTTCCAACCGGGTGACTGACCTCTCGCTGTGTGTGCGTGTCCCTCTCTCTCTCTCTCTCTCTCTCTCTCTCTCTCTGCTTTGTGCAGGACTACGCGACATTCAGGGGCTGGGGCAGCCGCCGCATCGACGGCAACACCCCGGCCACCGAGCGGCAGCGCTACATCGACGACTTCAACCAGAGCGCCGCCGCCAACGACAGGACCAAGAAGAAGAAGAAGGAAGAGCAGGACGATAACGACAAAGGAGGTGACGTCGCCACTGATGGTGCCGACGGGGCCGGAAGCGCCGAGGCCACCGGCGATAGCGGTAAGGTTGGCGGCGACGGCGGCGGTGGTGGTGATGGAGATAAGGAGGCGGGGGAGGGGGGGGAGGAGGTGGAGGGAAATGATCAGCAGGAGAAGAGCGGGAGCACAGGAGGTAGCGACAAGGACATCTTCCTCTTCTTCTTGAGCACCAAGGCTGGAGGCCAGGTGAGGAAGGGGGCCCCGCAGCTTGCGACGAGCGAACCCCACACTAGCGTTGTCATCGATGTGGTTGTCCGGGGACGTTCAGCCACCCCTCCCCCCCGGGGACATTTTCGTCTTTCGGTGTGACGGGGCCGGCCCCGCGCCAACGCCAAATAGAATACTTACACCGTGGTACCCACAGCAGTAGGTAGGCATTTTTTGCTGTTCACAACCCCACCGTCGTCTCCCGCTTGCACGTTCACTCCGGGTTGGGCGTGCTCCTCGCTTATTGGCCCGTCCGTTCTCGGATGTTTGTTTGCGTTTCTTGTTTGGGTCTTTGGCCTCGTCGGACCTCACGGCTCCTCTCGGCTTGCTTGCTGGCTGGTTGGCAGGGCATCAACCTGGCCACGGCCGACACGGTGATCATCTACGACTCCGACTGGAACCCTCACAACGACCTGCAAGCGCTGGCTCGCGCGCATCGCATCGGGCAGGCCAACAAGGCGCGTTGTGTAGTTCGTAGGTTTCGCATGATGCGGGGTTTCGTAGATTTCGTGGGTGTGGTACATGTGGTACATGCTGTTGTTGTTTTATTCACATTATCTACCGCTCCGATCTCTCTAACCAGTATATTTTCAGCTGTCCGTACTGATCAAACACTTGGCAGAGCGATTCCCGTGGTTACATGTTCACTTGACCTTAAAAGGTTTATTGCAGATTTCGTAGAAGGTGGTGTTTCGTAGATTCGTTGAAAGAATGAGAACGTTGTCCCTCAGACGGGATGCTTTAAAGAATCGTACTAATCACCATGTTTTTTCTTGGTCGAAACGTGCTCTTCGGGGGTTGTGGGCAGGTGATGATTTACCGTTTCGTTTCCCGCGCCACGGTGGAGGAGCGGATCCTCGAGGTAGCCAAGAAGAAGCTGCTGCTGGAGCACGTGGTAGTGCAGGATGGCAACAAGAGCATGACACAGGTGCAGTAGTTGTCTGAAGCTAGTCGTATTGTATCGTACATCATCGTTTTTTTGGGGGGTTTCGCTGATTTGTTTTTGCTGTAGCTGATTTGTTTGTCCTCATAGAAATAATTGTCCTCATAGAAATATTACCTTTCTAGTTTTTTCCTGCTGGTTGGCATTTTGTGCAATCTTGCGGGTCTGTTTGTGTTTTCACCGCTTGCCGAACACAACCCGCTACACAATCGTACACGCTGTACCCGATGGGACAGCTGGAGTCTGCTTTACACCCCCCTCCACCGCCGCGCCCCTTGTGAATATAATTATTTGTAGCAATACAAATATTTCTTCATTGCGGGCCCTTGTGCGAGAACAGGAGCCGCTTATCCTTGTCATCATCGCCATGTATCGCCGGGCCAACTAACTGACACCCCATTTTTTTTTTGTTGAGACCGGAGGGACAGCTGAACCTTGTCAACATTGTCTGTTGCCGTGCCAACGAAACTCGCCGGGACCCACCTTTTTTCGTTTTGCGAGAGCAGGAGCAGCTTTGATCCACGTGGTCAATGTCATTTATCGCCGTGCCGACACCTCTCGTTTGTATTTTCGCGACAACAGGAGCAGCTTAACCTCGTCATCAAGTACGGCGCGGAGGACCTGTTCCGGGAGGAACCAGACGATGAGGCGGAGGGGGGGGACACGGCCGCGGCTGCCCCCGCCGGTGGTGGCGACAACGAAAAGGTGCAGGCCGCGTGTATACAGTATACAGCGCTGGATGTTTTGAGACAAGGTATAGGCCGTTCGTAGATCGTACCAAGCGTTCGCGAAGAGGGTACAGGCCGTTTTCATTGTCACCTCACACCGAGGTGACAATGAACGAGGTACAGGCTGTTGGAGTGTTGCGTCGAGGTGACAGCGAAAAGGGTACAGTTTTTTTTTGGTCTCACGTCGAGGTGGCGACGAAAAAGTACCGGCCGTCTAGGTATACCTTTGAGGCGACAGCGAAAGAGGTAAGCCGTTTTTATATCGCGCCGAGGTGGCAACGAAGGAGGAGCAGGCCCTTTACGTGTGTAGCTTCGAGGTGACAACGAAAAATATACAGGCCGTCGAGATGGCAATGAAAAGGTACAGGACGCCGTGTTGCATTGATGTGACAATGAAAGAGTTACAAACTGTAAAGCATCGACACGGCAAGGAAAGAGGCACAGGCCGTCTATGTATTGCGGCGTCGAGATGGCATCGAACAATGTACAGGACCCAATGTAACGTCGAGGTGAAAAGGAAAGAGGTACAGACCGTCTATGTAAAGCGTCGAGAGGGCGACGAAAGAGGTACAGGCCGTCTACGTATGGCTTCGATCCCTGTGCGACATACGGCGACGATCCGAGACCGCGTGTACCTGTGTCGCTTTGTGTGTTTTCAGCAAACTCGGGCGGAAAAGTGGGGCGATGGGTCCCACCGCGGCCGCAAGGTCTCCCAGTGGACAGACGAGGCTGTCGACCAGCTTCTGGACCGGTCAGCTGTTGCGGAGGAGGAGGCGGGGGCGACGCGGGGTGAGGGGGGGGACGGGGCCGCGTCGAGCTCCAACGCGCTTGGTTCGCTGCTGCAGACGTTCAAGGTGCGAAGCGTTGAATTGGTGATGGCGATAAAGGTGTTGGTGATGGTGATAGAGCGTGTTGTTGGTGCTGCTGTTGGTGGTGCAGCGGTGGCGTTGCTTTCGTTGTTTTTGCTGATGAGGTTGGTGCTACTGTTGCTGGTGTTCGTAGGAGCAGTGCTGCCGGTGTGGCGTAGACGCGAGGAAAGCGACGCTCGAGTCTTGCTGCTGCTCTTGCCTCTGTTGGCATCTCGAGCGCTTCGATCCCCCTGTCGACCCTATAGTCGAACGCTCTGAACACATGAACCAATGACGACCAGCTGCAGCAGGGGCCGTCCCCGCAACCCTTCTCAAGAACGGAAATCGCCTGCTGCTGAAGCCGCAACACCGATGCCCCCCCCGCCCCCCGCCCCCCGCCCCCGTCGCAGGTGGCATCTTTCGCCCAGGTGGAGGCGCCGGCAGAGGACCCCGAGGTTGAAGTAGCAGAAGAAGGTGGCCCCGCTACATCATCCGGGCGGCACCCGGGTTCAAGCCGCCGGGAGAGCGCCGGCACGGGCGACCAGGATGCCTCCTCCGCCGTCGACATGGACGTCTCTGGCGACGGGAAGGAGGAAGACGGAGCGGCGGCGGGCGGGGAGGACGCGGTTTTGCCAGGGGGGCCCGCGCTGTTTGGCGAGCGGCCGGCGGATAGGTGAGTGACGGTGGTGGTGGTGGTGGTGGTGTTGCCTTTGTGTGTTCACACCAATGCCATCGAAACAGTCAAACGATTCACACACCAATCACATAACTCACATCTTGCTCAATTTCAAGTCGTTTCGACCCACCCACAGCGGCCTCTAGGTGGGAAGGAATCCTGGCCAATGTCCTGTGGAAACAAGTCGAGTCAGAGCCGATTCACTCACCAATCACCTTGCGAAACCCACCTCAATGTCGCTCAATTTTTTCTCGGTACAACCCCCCCCACAGCGGCGCTGGGTGGGAAGAGATCCTGGCGAAGAGCTACAAGGAGCAGCAGACGAGCCAGGCGGCTCGGCTAGGCAGAGGCAAGAGGGAAAAGACCCAGGCAAGTAATCTGGATTTCGGGCGGGGGCGTACTCGTGTTTGGCAGGCCTAAGCGGTTAGACCAATGACCACGAGTCCTCGAGAGCTCTCAGAATTGTTCCCACCGGAACGGATCACCGATGATGGCAGTTCAATCGTCCCTTGGGTTGCGCTCATTGTAGGGACGGGTTTGTTGCAGTTGGCGGCGGTGGTGATGGGGTCTGTTGGCCGTCGCATAACCGCAATGCGGTGGTCGCTGGTGCGGCCTTGTTCGTCCTCGTTGTGGGTGTTGCCATTCCCGTGTTGCTTCTGAGAGCCTCCCTTCCGGCCGGTCGCGGCGATTGGCCGACACAACAGTGCCGTGCCGGCGAGAACAAATCCCCCCTCGGAACAACAAGCGACTCAACAACGCCGAAGAGAATGCAAGCCATCGCACACAGGCTAGACGGACTCCCAAGATGATGGTAACGTCGAAAAGTGTGGTGGTTGTTCGGAAAAGATCTCGTGCTTTTCCATGCGCGTATCGGTCGTTTTCGTTCTCGCCCTGTTGGCCGGTCGTGGAGCAGGCGAGCCTTGAAGGTCGTTCGCTCTACGCGTGTGTTTGATCACTCGCACTCTTTTTCGGCACGTTGTTCTTAGTACCGCGGTGCTCCTGGGGCCGGGATGTCCCCCGAAGGACAGGTTCGTCCGTACGTACGTTTTTGTCCCTATGACAACGCGGCGCTCCTGGTGCTGCGCTTTCCCCGAACAAATAATACGTTTTTGTTCTTACACAACGCGTCGCTCTGGTGCTGTGCTTGGCGAAGCGCGCACTACGTTTTTTGTTGCCATAACAAAGCGGCGCTCTCGTCCTGTGCTTTTCCCCGAACGACTCCTTGCATTTCTGGCGCACGGCGTTTCTTGTTGCTAAACAACGCGGCGCTCTGGTCCCGTGCTTCTCCCCGAACCGCTCCTTTTTTTTGCTCTTATTACAAAATATCGAGGCGCTGCTGTGTCCCCCCCCCTACGGACACAGGTTCGGCCATACGCCGCCGAGGAGGACGAGCACGACCCCACGAACCACGGGGGCGGCGGTAGCAGCAACGGCAGCCTCCGTCAAGGCGAGGAGGGGCGAGAGGAAGGCGACGACGACGTGGACGACGAGGACGATGGCGACGACGACATGGACGAGTACGGCTCGGAGCAGCCGGACGCGGAGTTTGAGCCGCCTACGTCCAAGGCTGCCGCGGCGGCGGCGGCTGCTGCTGCTGCTGCGGCGGCTGCCGCTGCCGCCGCCGCTTCGCCGGGAGGTGGGGGGGAGGCGCCGGCGGGGGCTCCTGTCAAGAAGACAAGGCACCGCCAGCGGGTGAGAATTTGTACGGGGGGTACGCTGTTGGTTTCCGGGGGGTTGGTTGGTTGAGGAAGTGTGTACCATGCGCGGGGAGAGGGGTTCCTGGCAAGGAGACGAGGCACGTGAGCAGATAGCAAGGGGGCTCACAAAACGCAGGAGCTGATACGTTGCTACCCGTACGATACGATAAACACTGGGTCCTTAATCCAGTTTCGAGCAGTGCGCCAAGCCTTGCATTTCATGGGCGCCCCCTTGAAGATTGCGGGTGGGGGGGCACGCTGTTGGTTGTGGAAGAGGGGGGGGTGTAGTTGATTTTTGACAGGAGAGGCCGAACGGGGTAGCCGCTGTCAAGAGTTAGTACAATATCAGTATAGCTCCTGCTGGTGCTCTTGCTGGTGCAGCAGCGCTGCTGGTGCTGCTACATATGTCGTGCTGCTTGTGCTCTTTGCTAATTCCTGTGCTGCTGGTACCTTGCGCCGTCGTATTCGATGTACGTATGTCTGTACGTATGTCGCAGGACTCGCCCATCGAGGTGCTGGAGACCACGGAGGGTATCAAGACCATCGTGAGGTGCGTGACTCGCTTCGGGGTGCCGGACGGAGACTGGCGGCCGTGCATGGAGGCGGTGGTGACGAACTCGAGGCTGCACCTCGACCCGGCGTTCGCGAGGGACATCGGTCCTGGTGCGTGGGCGTGCTGTTTGTGTAGACGTGGTGCCGTTGAGTGTGTCTCCGTGTTTGTGCTGTAGTGGCGAGTTGGCGGTACAGAGGTACAGAGAAAAATCCGTCCTCGCTGGCAGAAGGTGAAGGTGTGTTGTTCCTTCGTTTGGGTGTTTTTTTCGGCGTTGTTTTTGTTGTTGTGGGTGGTGGTGGTGGTGGTGGTGGTGGTGGTGGTGCAGTAGTAGCGTTGGTTTTTCTGTTGCGCGGTGTTGTTTGTGTTCGTGTGGTAGGCACTGGTGTTGATATCGTAGTAGGCCAAGGAGCATCTGGGCCTCATTGTTGGCCATATCGATCTTAGGGGAAAAGCTGAAACAGAGCGATGGCTACCGCTCCCATTTTGACTGCGTTGATTGTGTGAACTTACACGCCCAACCCCCGACCCCCACCCCGCAGCCAAACCGTTCTTGCAGAGCGCTTTGAAGAAGGCCCTGGAGCCCGACTACCCCCACGCGGCGGGCAAGCGGCGGGAGCTGCTGTCTAGGATAGCGGCGATGGAGCTGGTGTTCCGGAAGCTCCAAGAGTGCAAAGGAAAGCCCTTCGATATTCAGGCAAGTGGCATTTGAGATTGGTAGATCTTTGCTCGATAGAGGGAGAAAGAGAGAGGGGGGGTGGGGAGGGGGAGAGAGAGCGAGAGACAGAGAGAGACAGAGCGAAAGAGAGAAAGAGAGGAAGAGAGAGACAGGGAGAGAGAAAGAAACGGAGGGGGAGAGAGGGACAGAGAGACAGAGAGAGACAGAGACAGAGCCAGAGACACGGAGCCCAGAGAGGGAGAGGGAGAGAGAGGAGACGCAGAATGCCCTTGGACGTTCCGCCAGAGTTGAACCAGAGTTCAAGGACAATGGACCAAAGAGGGGGAAGCAACGCGGGCAAGATAATTAACGAGTAAAATAACTGCAGTGGTACGAGAACGGGTTCGGCATCGGTACCAATTGAGGAGTGCCCGTCACGAGAGATAGATCGAAAACCACCATCACCGTGTCCTTTGATTGGAAGCACTCACGACCTGAAATCATTTATTTGCGTGCCCCCACTCTAGCGTAAAGGCCTTTTTCTTTCCCGCGGTGCCTTGCCTCAGGACAATCTTTGATGTACATATGTACATTAACCAAGGGACTTGCCCTTCGGGACTTGCCCTTTGGTTGAAAGCCCCCCCCCCCCCCTGCCCTTGACCTGTGCGTGGCCCCTGGCGTTGTTATTTTGTCCCGGACCCCTCCCCGTATCAGGACAAGCTTTGCGGGGTGTACATAAACCAGGCAAAGGGTGGGGGGTTGGAGGAGTGGTCGCGAGAGAACGACCGAAGCCTTCTGATCGGTCTGCTCAAGCACGGCAACTCGCGGTACCAGGCGATGGTGCAGGATGATACCCTGGGTCTCCGGCCTGCCCTCGAGCTTGCCCTCGCTGGCGGTACGCTGTGGGTGCTGTTGTTGCTCTTGATATTGCCGTTGTTGTCGTTGTTGTTGTCGTTGTTGTTGTTGTTGTTGTTGTTGTTGGTGGTGGTGATGGTGATGCAGCTGCTGAAGTTGGTGCATGAAATATCAGGATGTGCTCCAGGGTAAGCCGTGCTAACTGGCTTGTTGGCGCATGCGTTCATTGTGATTTTCTGTAGAATGAATCACACTGGAGACTGGAGAGTGTTTTCTTTTTCACGTAGTTATGATTGCACATTTTTGTTTTCTAGGGGGAGGCGCGTCCTGGCAGCTGGCGTGGGGAGAGGACGGCCCGACTGGGCAGCCGGGGTTCAAAGGCAGCCCGGAGTGGAAGTACGTCAAAGACCGGGTGAGAAAACGTAAATGGTCCCTTTGGTGTGAGAGGTAAGGAGTGAGGATACACGGGTGAGAAAATAAAGAGATACAAACATGATAAGAGATAATAGAAGAGATGTGAGACAAGTAAATTAATGTGAGATACTAAAAGAGATGATGATCCCTTTGGTGCGAGAGGTAAGGAGTGAGGATATATGTACGGGTGAGATAATAAAGAGATACAAATATGATGATACATTTTGTGGAAGCGGTCACGATTATCGAGCGATGAAGCCGGGCAAAGACGGGATGAGATAATATAGGGATGAGTCGTGATGCATTCTGTGGGAGAGGTCACGATGATTGAGTTATGAGAAATGTCAAGGACCGGATGAGATGGTATAGAGGTCGAACATGATGTGTTTTGCGGGAGAGGTCACGGTGTTTGGGTGAGGAAATACGGGTGAAGTCAATAAAGTCATGGAAACATGATATATTTTGTGACAGATATCACGATGATCCGAGTGAGAAAGTACGCCAAAGACTGGGCAAGACTTGAAACAGAATGGGACATGCATTTGGGGCCAGATGTGACGATTGTTGAGTGCCAGCGAGGAGAAGAAAATGGTCCATGGATGTTTAATTTACGAGTCCGGAGATGCTAGGTACGATCGGACAAGAGATGCAGCAAATCTTCGTAATGAGTACTGCTGCCCGGTAGGGTTGAGAGACTCCTCCGTGCGTTGCGTTTTGCTCCGACTCCAACCTGTCTTTCTAGTCTAAGCGCTTGGCCAGCTCGATTGGCGGGAACCACGTCGTTGAAATACAAATGTCGCCGAAAACTCCTTAGTGATACATACGGCTCTCGTCGACATGTTGTCGTTTTGGCTTTCAGTGTGCAGATTATGGTCTGTCTCTTGTTCGGCTGTTTGACGCGCGTATATCTCGATTCTCTTGCGTTCATACGACGGCGCCGTCGTGGACAGTGTATGCTATTGTGTTGGTTCCGCTTTTTCGATGTTGTGTTCTTTTGGAAACGCGTACAGCGGTGGCGGCTACGGGTTTAAGACATGTTATGAAAGAGAAAATTGTTTTTTTGGGAGTGTTTTTTTGGCTTGCCAAGGCCCGTACAGGCCACTACTGTAATACTCTTTAATCCTCCTCCGGTTGGTTCTGTGCCTGTGTTTGCGAACGCTCTCCAGCTGCTCTTGCTCGAGAGAGCCCTGGTGGACGAGCACCAGTATAGGCAGGGCAAGGCCTCCCTCGAGAGGGAGCTCAAGACCCTGCTGGCGAGACACCAGCAGTCGCTCGGCCCGAACGACCAGGTGACGCGGCAGCCGCGGCAGTGGTCTGTCTCCGCAGGTTTTACTATGCACGCTAACCCTATAGAATAGGCTATTAGGGTTAGGGTTAGCGTCTGCGTGCCCCCTCCCCTGTCTTTTTTTCGCAAAAATCTAATCTCTTTGTGCAGGCAGTCCTTCCAGCAGCGGCAGTATCGCGTGCCTCCGAGCATCAGTGCCGGGCAGTATCACAAACACGTTCGACGAGTCTCGACTACGAAATAGTAGCCTAGACCGCCCCCCGCCCACCGCCCACGGGCATCACATGTAACGCCACCCAAACCTTACACCTTGTGAACCTTTATCGAGCTATTCCTGGTGAAACAAACCACAATACACGCAAGCATGCTGTGTGATGATCCG